CGTCCCCCGTTCATCGTGCCGCTGTCTTTTCCATCATAGTTACACTTTTCTCTCTCTCATTCTCAGTCTCTCTCTCTCTCTCTCTCTCTCTCTCTCTCTCTCTCTCTCTCTCTCTCTCTCTTTCTTTATCCATATATCTATATATCCATCCATCTAGCTAGCTATCTAGCTATCTATATATATATATATAGATTTCCCGGTCTTTTGGTGTAAGCTTGATATGCAGCCCCCTGGCTTTCTACGCGTTATCACAGGTTTTTAAGTTATCCTTCCATTCTCTTGACCGCCTCTTATCTCCCCCCTCATCGCGCCTCTGCGCCCGTTGGAGGCGCCGCGTGCAGAGCAAACGTGCTGAACGAGCCAGGTTGTGCACCCTAGCGGCAGCCTCGCGGGGCGACATCATCCGCCGATTTCGCATGAGGCGGGGGGCCGAGAGGGGGGCGCGGGCAACTCGCCAGCGGGCCTCACGACAGAAACACAACTCAGCACGGACGATTGCCATCAGGCGGAACCCGCATTTCGTCATAGTCGGGGAGGGCAGGCCACCAACTTTGACGTTTGACGAGGCAGCTATCTCTCGTTATTGCCTCGAGCACGCTGCAGATTTGCAGGCCGAGTTGGACGGATTGAAAGCCGCGGCGGCTGGAGGTCGTCGGCGGGCCAGGGGTTCCGATGTCCCATTGCCCTGCAGCAACAAAGAATGGTTGGATTGGATAGAAAAGAATGCGACCACTTGGGATGCGGCTCTCCTCAACGCTTCCTCAGACAGGCGCAAGTTCAATGAACGCATCGTTCCGGACAGTAGGGGCGGGGAGGTCGCTCCTCGTTGTCGTTCTATCTCGCTCCCTCGTCGTCCTTTCGGGCAAGGTGGAACGGCGGAGGGAGGGATCCAAGGGGGAGGTTGGAGGTCATGGAGGGGAGGATTGGGCGCATCAAAATGACAGCTGCCGTCCCAGGACGCGCCTTTACCCCCTGGCGGGCGTCTGCAGCCCGAACCCGTGCTCGAAGATGTTTCGTGGCAGCGGAAGTTGCTCGCCAAGCCCCCAGGTTTTTTCGTCGCGGTGAGGCCTGGCCGTCCACCCGCTTGCTTCTTCCACGCCGCCCTCGGTTTGCGGGGCGAACTTCGGACGGTGCACATGTTGGGGTGGGGTGCGGCAGTCTGGCTGGGCGTGCACAGCCTGACTGTCGCCCCCCACGCGCAGCGATTGCGTCGTTTTTCGCCGCGCCCCTCCAGGCAAGAGCAGTTGGGTTCTTCCTTTGCGAACTCAGGGGCTGAATGCTTGCGTGGATCTGGCGACGGACTTGGCTGGCTCTTTTGTACGCCTCCGTGACTATTGCGCGGCCCGTCGCATTTCGCCAGATGGGGATGTCGTTTTGGAAGAAGTCTTCACGGGCGCGCTCCAATCCACGGAGGCAGCGCTTGTCTTCAGAATTACACATACCATGCTCGTGCCAGAGCCCCCGCCAGAGCCTGCGCGGACCGTCGCGAAGGAGGCTGAGGAGACCGAAGTTGAGGGGGGCGAGGTTGCGGAGGAGGTGGGCGCGCCCAGCGGACCGCCTAAGAAGGGCGAGTTGGCGCCGTCGTCTGAGGGGTCCGACGTCCTTTCGTGCGTCAGCGCGGCGGACACGGTGGCAGAGGACGTTGAAGAAGAGGCAGCAGCCGCTGGTGCCGATGCTGACGACGATGCGCCAGCAGATGGTGATCCCGAGCACGCGGTGTCCCACGTCATTTGGAACACGCCGTATTTCACTCTCCGGGACGACCGCGGGTGGCCCGACGCCAAGGTTAATTTGCATTGCGGGGGGCTCAGCCGTGATAGTTCCGTCTGGCTTCGGGTTGTGGAAAAGAAGAGGGCCAGGGGCGGGGCGGCCTACGGCAGCGAATGTCGGCGCGTGACGGGGGGGCGAATGGCGGCTTATGACGGCGAGTAGCGGGGGATAGCGGCGGCGGCTGGCGGCTAATAGTGGCTAATAGCGGCTAATAGCGGCTAATTCCGCTATTAGCCAGTATTAGCCGCTATTAGCCACCATTAGCCGCTATTAGCCGCTATTAGCCGCTATTAGCCACTATTAGCCGCCAGCCGCCGCCGCTATTCTCCGCTATTCGCCGCGAGTAATCGCTATCAGCTTGCTCTCTTGGGCTTGCGCGGGGTCTCTCTGAGGCCACCTGGGGGCCATCCTAAGGCTTCGCTGGATCATCGCTGGGGCACCTTCCTGGCGCGCGGAGGGCGCCAGTGGCGAAACCGAAAGGAGGTCCAGCGCGCATCCAGGACATGCGCGGGGCACTGGTAGATCCCTTTCGGAGGGGCTGCATCGCCGCCGCGGGCGGGCGTAGGGGAGGGGCAAGAGGAGGAGGGAGGAGGGAGAAAGGAGGAGGAGGAGGAGGATGAGGAGGAGGAGGAGGAGGGGGGGGAGGGCGACAGGGGGGGGGGGCACCTACCACTTCAGGCCCCCAACAGGGTCCACGAAGATTTTGGGACGGAGTCCGCATCGTACCCCCCCCCCGCTTTACGGCCGCAGTGCGCAGTGCCGTTCAAGCAGTTCTGGGTCAGATCTGCCACGCCCAGCGGTGGTCCGACCGCCGCGCCCTCGGTTCCGCCCCCCCGGTGCTTTCGCCAGCGGACATTGGTCCATCATGGCAGCCGGCGGCGCCGAGCCAGACAAAACCGATTACGAGGCCCTTAAGCGCTTAGGCGAGCCCCAGACCGAAGAGAACCTCCAGCGGATCCACGCGTTGCGCTTGGAGCGCGCTGACATCTTGGGGAAACGGGTGGACCAGGTGCGGAGTTGGTTTTCCCAGGGACGAAAAGCGGAAACGGGAACGGATGATGGCGATGAGGATGAGGGCCAGGAGGAGGAGGAGGAGGAGAACGAGGAGGAGGACGAGAAGGAGGAGGCAGAGGAGGAGGAGGAGGGGGAGGAGGAGGAGGAGGACGAGGAGGAGGAGGGAGAGGGGGAGGAGGAGGAGGAGGAGGAGGAGGAGGAGGAGGAGGACGAGGAGGAGGAGGGAGAGGGGGAGGAGGAGGAGGAGGAGGAGGAGGAAGAAGAGGAGGGGGGGGAGGAGGCGGAGGAGGAAGAGGAGGAGGAGGAGGAAGAGGAGGAGGAGGAGGAGGAGGAGGAAAAGGAGGAGGACGAAGGAGGGCGAGAGAGGAGAGGAGGAGGGATCCACGCAGGTGCGGATCGGGAAGAACATCTGGCAGGAGGCCAAACGCAAGCACACCGTGGCCACGGAAGAACTGGCCCCTTATCTGAAGGTGTCTAAGCTGGTGGGATTACACTCCGACCTTTCACCCTACATTGTGTCGCAGGCTGATTTGGATTGTCTGGAGTTGCCGCCCAGTTTTCATCCGCACCTACACTGGCTGGTGAAATCCACGTGCTTGCAGCAGCTCCCAAGGGACATCTTGCAGACGCTGGGGCCCGACTACGCCAGAGTCAATATCAAGAGCACTTTCTCGGCCACGCGCAATTTGGACGCGCCGGCCTCATCCCAGGGGCCCGCCCTGTGCTTGCAGGCAGCCGCTCCGGCCGAGGCCCCCTCTGCACGTACCGCGGCTGCGAGTGCTCGGGCAGGAGACGGGCAGCCGCCGAGCAAGTGCCCAAAGCTGGAGGCCCATTCGTCCGACGAAGGGTCCGCGGTGTCTCCGACATCGATCCTCGACATGGGGAAGTGGGCGGCGGCTGCTCGCAAAAAACAGATTTTGGTCATCGAGGACGACCCCATGGATGGTGACAGCATCGAGTACTGGGTTCGGAAGTTTGCCTCTCACGCGCGCGCGGCCAAATGGTCCACCCGCGCCGAGGCGCCGAGAGAGGCCAGGTGGTTCGTGCGAGCCGTGGTCGAGAATGTGAGCAGCATGGCGTGCTACAGCGAGCTTCGGCACCTCTATCCGCACCTGAAATCGATCAAGGATGACGCGCCAGGCGCTGCCACGGCCGGCCTCGCATCCCTCCTGAACTTGGCGAAGGCTTCCACCTGCGACGACGCGCGTTGGCCTCAGCGGCCTTTTTTTTAACAAGCCTGATGCCTTGTTCACGGCTGTTGGAGGTTTCGTGCTCGTGAAGTCACGGCTCGATCGGTAGCCCTACAGCCCTATAATCTTAGAGCTTTATAGCTCTATAGCTTTATAGCCCTATAGCCCTGTCGCCCTGTAGCCTCAATAGCCTTATAACCCTATGGCCCGAATAAGTCCACAGCTTTATAGCCTTATAACCCCATAGCCCCATAGCCCTCTAGCTCTTTAGCCATCTAGCCCTATAGCCATCTAGCCCAGAAGCGGTGGCGGGCATGACCGCTCATGCCGCCCCATTGCGGCCACTGTCACCTCGGACTTGATACAGCCACGAGGAAGATTATCTCACCATCCCTCTGAGCGTAGGAGGTCCAACAAGTTCTACCTTCTCGCTTCCAACATCTGTTCCCCCCAAGACTGGTGCAGGTTAGCCCCCCCCCCGCCCCCGTCCCAGGGCTTGTTGTTGCTTCTGCGGCGGGAGGCGCGAGGGCCTCAAGTCGGCCCCTCGAGCGCCCGAGCGCGTCTCAGGATGCGGCATTTAGCGCCCCCTTTATTCCGTCGATGCCCTGAGGCATCAGAGGGGCGAACTAGATTCTAGTTCGCCCTCTGAGTGACGCACTATAGTTTAGTTCGCCGTTCTGGCGGTACTCTTGGGGCACCAGGACAGCGAACCAGATTCGAGTTCGCCCCTTTTTGTGGGCGCCCTGGGGGCACCAGAGTGACGCACTAGATTCTAGTTCGCCATTCTGGCGGTACTCTGGGGCACCAGATCGGCGAACTAGATTCTAGTTCGCCCTTTTGGGGGCGCCCTGGGGGCACCTGGACAGCGAACTAGATTGTAGTTCTTCGTTCTGGCGGTACTCTTGGGGCACCAGAGCGGCGAACTAGATTTTAGTTTGCCCCTTTTTGTGGGCGCCCTGGGGGCGCCAGAGTGACGCGCTAGATTCTAGTTCGCCGTTCTGGCGGGACTCTTGGGGCACCGCTGAGCCGCTGAGGCTGCTCGAGGATGGGATCGTCCAGACGGCGATCGAGAACAATCCCATGGAGGGGACAGCCTTGTACAAGGATTTCCTGGCGGCGCGCTTCGGTGCCAAGCTGCGTTTCCTGATGGCCGAGGCGTCAGGTGCTCACGGGCCAGTGAATTCAGACGAGAGGGTTTATTTTCAGCTCTCGGCCATGGGCAAAAGCTTCGAGGGCAGGAAGGAACGCCTATGCCAAAACACGCAGGACTTGTTCAACTTCGGCCTTGCGTGGTTCAACCCCTCTGTGTCCCTCGCCGACAAAGCGCGCTTCCTTTGCGGGCGCCCAGACGGGGCCGACCGGCCCCGCAAGGGCGCAAAGGGCAAGGCGGAGGGGGGCAAGGCTGATCCGACCGAGGACACCGACGTAACGGATAGACCTCGCAAGAGCGCCAGGGCAGCCAAGGGGCTGTCTGCGGATGGGCCTGAGGGTGGGTCCCCGTCCAAACCTGCAGACGTCAATGACGGGCGCGGGAACTGGGCGTTGTTGCAGCAATGGTTGCCTGGAAGCCCATATCTGGCGTTCGAGCGTTGGTGCATCGGGGCGAAGGCCGTGCCGCACCTGGAATCGTTCCTGGAAATCGTTGGCGGTGCGCCACATGAGCTGTGGGAGATTTTCGAGGGCGTATTGCACCCGACCGTGAAGGCCCTGCAGAAGCTGCATGCCAAGTTCGCAGCAGGAAACGTTCCTGCCGACGTCCGCACCTATTGCGTGAAGCACACGGCCGCCTTGAAGCCCCCGTCTTCGCAGGAGGATGACAGCGACGGGGGTGGCTTGAAGGCGGACGACGACGACGAGAAGATTCAGATTCCGACGGGCGGCGCGCCGCGGGTGGTGGAGGGCGGGGGCCACTGCTTAGAAGGAATGGTGGTTTGAAGGCGCGCCCGTCCTTCTAAGGGCCTCCTTCCTCCGTCTTCCTGGCGCGCCGCCGTGAGACCGAGAAAGAATTGCTGTTGCTGGTTGGCGGCGCTCTCGCAGCTTTCTGGAGCAGGGTGGAGAAGTCAGACGTGCCGAAGGGAATCCAGGAGATCCTCCAGGCGCGCGAGCAGTGCCAGAAGGAGAAGGCGGACCTGAAGGGCGCTGCCCAGAAGGCAGCGGCGGAGGAGGCAGCTGCCGGCCAGGGCGCGGCCAAGGCGGGCGATGAGAAGACCGGCGAGCAGACCGCCAAGGCCGAACAGGCGCCGGCGGAGAACGCGCCCTCGCCTGGGCCTGGAGCAGCGCCCCAAGCGGAGGCAAGGTCTTCATGCTCGTCCTTATCTTCCTCCTCCTCCTCCTCCTCATCCTCCTGCTCCTGCTCCTGCTCCTCCTCCTCCGCGTCCTCCTGCTCCTCCTCCTCCTCCTCCTCCTCCTCCTCCTCCTCCTCCTCTTTCTCCTCCTCAGCCTCGCGGTCCCTCTCTTTGTCCTCCTTCCCTTCCTCTCCTCCCTCCCCCTGCTCTTCCGTTTTCGTCGTTCCCCTCCTGGCGCGTCCGTTTATCGAAGGCAGGGGCTGCTCCGAGCGCGCCAGGGTCAGCAGGCGCCGCGGCGCCGAGCGCGCACGAACCCCGGGCGGATTTCAAACCAGGAGACCTCGTCATCGGAGCGGTGCGGAAGCAGAAGGACGCTCGGATCGGTTTGTGGATGCTATATTTATTTTGTTTTTTTAGGGGGTCCTTCGTGCCCCCTGCGCCTTTTCCTTTGCACAGCCCTTGTCTTCTCCCTTGTCACTGAGGCCCTGGGATCGAAACCGCCGGCCCACCTCGAACCCCCCCATATCAAAAAAAATCAGCGATGTGAGAAACTGAACATTCATCTTCGGATTTTTTTGATCCTCCGGAGGCCGTTGTCGAGCCTCGGGTGCCGTTGAAATCGGCCAGGGGCGCGCGTCGCGCCCCAAAGGAATGTCATGGTATTTCAGGATTTCTCACGTCGCGGGGGGCTGGGCTGGTCCTCCAAGCTAGACCTGGCCCAGGATGAGTTCGAGGGCGTAGTTGGCACCGTCATGAGCGGCCCGACGGGGGGGGACTCTAAGAACTACAAGGTGAAGGTGAAAAACAAAATCAGCAACATCGAGATGGTGAGGGTGTACAAGGCGTGCAATCTGACCCTCCATGTGCCCTCGCCGCCAGGCGGTGCCCAGGAACCCAACGCGGATTTGGAGCAGGCTGCGAAAGAGTTCGATCAGGCTGCGCAGCGGGCGCAGGAGATTTTCGGCACCGCGGATGTGGCCGTGAGTTCCCCTGAGGCAGAACCTCCTGCCCCGCCGGGTGGCGCTTGATAGGTGCTCTTCGTAGGAAGCGCGACGATACCTTCGGCCATTGGGTCTCAGAGGCCTTCAGGATGAGGTCTATTTCGCTATGGGCCTCCCGTTTACACAATTATTTTGATTCGACGCTCCCGGTGAGGCCCCTGCATTAGGCCCCTCAATTGGGTCCCCCGATTAGGTCATTACGATTGGGCCTTCCCGATCCTGTCTAAGAGCCTTTCCAGATTAAGGCCGCCCCTGATCAGGTCCAGGGGGCGCTTCCGATTGCCCCCCTCTCCCGAATTTACCCCCCCCCCCCCGCTGCGCCCCATCGAGCCGCCCCCCCACCAGGTAAGGCCCCCCTGTTTCGGTTGAAGCCCCGCGGCCTCGCAAGAACAGTTTGCGTCGTCGACGCGTTCGTTGCAATCGCTTAGTGGGCCGCTCGGCGTCCGCATGCTGTGCGCGGCCTTTGTACGGGCCGCGGCGCATTCAGTCGGGCGGAAAAGAAAACGTGGCTCAGTCGGCCCGCCATCGTTCGCCCCAGGCTGGCTGACTGGGGGCCGCGATGGGCATCGTCCTCCTCGTCCCCTCCCCCCCATCCCCCCCGCCCTCCTCCTCTTCTTCCTCCTCCTCTTCCTCTTCCTCCTCCCCCTCCTCCTCCTTCAACCTCTTCGGTGATGGATGGCGGGCCGTTTGAATTCACGCATGCAACGTTGGGCTGTTGTGTAAAATGGGGCCCCCCTTGGACTCCAGCCGGCCCACCGTGTCAACAAAACGGGGCCCCCCTTGAACTCCAGCCGGCCCAACATGTGAACAAAATGGGGTCCCCCTTGGACTCCAGCCGGCCCACGGGTGTTGCTGGTGTTCCGTGCGCCTCTTCTCTTTCATTTGTTGTAATTTTTGTTGTTGCTGTTGTTGTTGTTGTTGTTGTTGTTGTTGTTGTCGTGATTGCTGTTGTTGTTGTCGTTGTTGTTATCTTGGCTATTTGTATACTTCCAATGTCCACGCTCGCCGGGTGGACGCCCGGCGAGCCGCAGCCGGCGCGTCAGCCATGCTGGGGAGTTGCGGGAGGTCTAGGGCAGCTTTTAATACATAGAATGTGTTGTTGTTGTTGTTATTATTGTTGTTGTTTTCAAGGCAAAAACACTGAGGGGCGATGCTCAGGCAAATTTCAAAAATTTGCCTGAGTATCGCCCTGCAGCGTTTTCGCGATATGCCTTTAGCCCTGTAACCCCTTAGCCTTATAGCACCATCGCCTTGTAGACTATTGCCTTATTGTCCTAGAGGTCGGCGCAGTCCTGGTGCCAGCACCCCTCAGGGCTGGAAAAGGGTGAGGGCGAAAAACACTGAGGGGCGATGCTCAGGCAAATTTCAAAAATTTGCCTGAGTATCGCCCTGCAGCGTTTTCGCGATATGCCTTTAGCCCTGTAACCCCTTAGCCTTATAGCACCATCGTTATGTAGACGATTGCCTTATTGCCCATAGGTCGGCGCAGTCCTGGTGCAGGCGTCCCTGAGGCCTGCAAAAGGGTGAGGGCGAAAAACACTGAAGGGGGATGCTCAGGCAAATTTCAAAAATTTGCCTCAGTATCGCCCTGCAGCGTTTTCGCGATATGCCTTTAGCCCTGTAACCCCTTAGCCTTATAGCACCATCGCCTATTGCCTTATTGTCCTAGAGGTCGGCGCAGTCCTGGTGCCAGCATCCCTCAGGGCTGGAAAAGGGTGAGGGCGAAAAACACTGAGGGGCGATGCTCGGGCAAATTTCAAAAATTTGCCTCCTCCTCCTCCTCCTCCTCTCTGAATGTGGTGACGTTTACCCGGCCGGCCACCTTCGATATCTACAGTTTCGCCTCAAACATTTGTCTGAGCATCGCCCTGCAGCGTTTTCGCGATATGCCTTTAGCCCTGTAACCTCTTAGCCTTATAACACCATCGCCTTGTAGACTATTGCCTTATTGCCCCGTAGGTCGGCGCAGTCCTGGCGCAGGCGTCCCTGAGGGCTGCAAAAGGGTAAGGGCGTCAAACACTGAGGGGCGATGCTCAGGCAAAGTTCAAACATTTGCCTGAGTATCGCCCTGCAGCGTTTTCGCGATATGCCTTTAGCCCTGTAACCCCTTAGCCTGATAGCACCATGGCCTTGTAGACAATTTGCAGTAGTTCTAGAGCCCAATATCCCTATAGCCGTATAGCTCGATGTTCGTATAGCTATAGCCGTATACTTAGATAAGCGAGTAGGCCCATAGCCTTATAGGCCTATGGCCCTACAGCCAACGGCTCTATACTTTATCAATTCTATAGCCCTACACGCCCATAGCCCTAGAGCCGTATAGGCCTATAGATCTATAGCTCTATTGTTCCAGGCCCATTGCTCCATATCCCTTTTTTGGGCCGTATCTGGGCTCATGGGGGCGCGTCTTCGGGCGTGGTTGTTTGTTGGGAGGCGTGTGGAGATATCAGAACAAGCGGTGCCGCAATGCATATCCGGAGCTATTTCGATTCGAGGCTTCTGTCTGTTGGATATCCTTTGTTTCGAGGTTCATACTTTCAAACGCCATGCCCAACTTTAGCATAGTGGATGCGGATGATCATGCAAACAGTGGTGTGGCGATATCGTCTTGGGTGATCAATTGTTTGAATATTTTGCGGGTTCGAAAGGAGCTGGGGCCTAAAAGTACGGCCGATACTATTATTGACAAGTGGCAACAAATGTTGTTGTTGTTGTTGTTGGTGTTGTTGTTGTTGTTGTTGTTGCTGTTGTTTGTTGTTGCTGTTGCTGTTGCTGTTGCTGCTGCTGCTGCTGCTGTTGTTGTTGTTGTCGCTTTAGGCGTTGTTTATTTGTACCACGATGGCCCCATATCGCAAAACTGTTGCAACGCAAGCAAATCGTATTCCTGGGAGGCGTGTGCGTCGAGGTGGAGACCGCGCCCTGTTCCAGACCCCCTTGCGCCGTCAAGAAGTGTCCAACGATTTTTGGTTTTCGGGGGCTTTCACTGGGCCTGGAGATGGGCAAAAAGCCCAAAGGATGAAACATGTGGTTTCGGGTTGGGGTCCAGGCCTCCACAGGCCGATTCCGTCAACAATCGCAGCGGCGGGGGTTTGGGACTTGGCGGAGCACACCCTCGTCCGTGACGGCCACTATTGTGGTGCGGCGGGACCAGGGCAACATGCGCAAACATGTGCCCCCCGTGCTGGTGTTGCTGCTGTTGTTGCGGCCGCGGCGGGTGTTGCTGGCGTTCCGTGCGCTTCTTGTCTTTCTTTTGTTGCACTGTTTGTTGTTGTTGTCGTTGTTTTTTGTTGTTGTTGCTGTTGTTGCTGTTGTTGTTTGTTGCTGTTGATGTTGCTGCTGTTGTTGTGATGTTTGCTTTAGGCGCTGTTTACTTGTATCACGATGGCCCCATATCGCAAAACTGTGCTTTCCACATCTTCGTCGGATTCACTGGCGAGGCGCATATTGTGCGTCGAGTTGGAGACACGCGCCCTTGTTCCCGACCCCTTGCGCCGTCAAAGACGTGGTCCAACGATTTTTGGATTTTCGGGGCTTTCCCTGGGCCTGGAGTATGGGCAAAAGCCCAAAGATGAAACAGTCGTTTTGGGTTGGGTGGTCCAGCCTCCCACAGCCGATTACATGTCAACAAGTCGCCAACGGCGGGGGTTTTTGGACTTCGGACGGAGCAAACACCCACAGGAATACATCAGTTTCAAAATATATTTTACGGATTTCTTTTTTCGTTTTCATTTATGGTTTCTTTTCGTCTAAAATGGCCACTATTGTGGTGCGGCGGGACCAGGGCAACATGCGCAAACATGTGCCCCCCGTGCTGGTGTTGCTGCTGTTGCTGCGGCCGCTGCGGGCGTCGCTGGCGTTCCGTGCGCTTCTTGTCTTTCTTTTGTTGCACTGTTTGTTGTTGTTGTCGTTGTTTTTTTGTTGTTGTTGCTGTTGTTGCTGTTGTTGGTTGTTGCTGTT